ACTGTACACGTGTCGAAAGCTACAAATTAGGACTTTTATTATAGTTATAGCTGGCGTTTAAACATGCAACCCTGAAAACGAGCATCAAGGAAAACTGGAAGTAGATGTGCGTTTGAATCTGTTAGGGAACTTTCCAAGATCGTCAGGACAAAAGGAGTTTGGATGATTGATTTCTTATCATCTGGAGTTGTGTGATGTGTTTGCGCTGCTCTTTAAACTTTGCAAATCAAGAGTCCAAATTACCCCCTTGAGCCAGTCGCATATTAGAACCTGCAGCTGAGGAGTTAATAATTTATTCAAAAACACACTCCGGGTTAATATTGTGTGTCTCTGTGTGTGTGTGTGAGAGAGAGAGACAGAAAGAGATGATTACATTGCTGATGCCCAGGTGTTGTACTGAGAAAACAACTGTCTGTGTGACTCTCTGACCTCACCTGCACAAACACACTTAACCCTCCTGCTGCTCTTGGGTTAAAGTGACCTATAGGCCTCATTTTTTAAATCAAGGCCTTCTGGGTCATTTTGACCCAAGGACAGCAAGAGGGTTAATCCCGTTTCAATTTTATTGTATTAACGAATGCATTTAAACTTTTTTAAACTGTTCTTGATTGTAAATGGTAAATGGACTGTACTTAAATAGCAACTGTCTAATTTAAGAAGATACTCAAAGTGCTTTACACTACAATCTGCGCCCTCATTTACCATTCATACAGCACTACGTACAAAGAATAATCAGAGCTTTATCACATTCATACACTGATGGAACACACATTGGAGGCAATGAGGGGTTCAGTGCCTTGCCCAAGGACGCTTGAGCATGTGACTGCTGGTGGAATTGAACCTCCAACTCTGGCATTTGAGGACAACTGCTCTAACCACTCAGCAAACTCTCACAAAAGCTGAGACATGCAAAAATGACAAAACAAAATTAAACTCTTACAAACTGAAAATAACATTTGAATAGAAACTGCGTCTACATTTTGTTTTATAGGAACTGCTGTTCGGTGAAAAATGGAAATCCTTTAAAGAGTAGCACAGTCTTGCGCACTGGCCGATGCCTTGCATGGCAAAGTTTAAAACAAAAGTCTTGCATGAGCAATCACTCAGTGCACCGCATACTGTCTTGTTTCTGTCAAATCAACAGTTACAGCCATTTTTGTGTTTGCTGTGATCGATCAGCTGTGGTGCACATCTCGAACTGGGCTGGCTCCAGATCAGTTGTCCAAAAACAGAAACCTGATCATTGGTTCATGAGATATTTCGCTGACAAACAGACACAGGCACATTATTTTCTGCCTTTTAATGTGATGGCGATAACGACAAGGAAACTGGTCACTGACATAAAGAATGACGTTTCAAACGCTCTTTTTCATATAAGGAATGGAGAACTAAGATCTTGACCAGGGGTCTACAACCTTTAAAATCAAAAGAGCCATTTTTACACCTTTGTTCACATTAAACGTGTCCGGAGCCACAACAACCTGCTAAAACTGTGATTATCAACTGGTGGCCCATGGGCCACATTAGACTTGCTGGAGTGGGCTTTTGTGGGGTGACATTATAAAGCAAAAAATGTCTAATGATTTATAACATTTAGTAAAGAAAAGACCAGATTCTTGTAAAGAAGGGAGGAAAAAATCAGTTGTAACCGAAAAAAAAAAAAATAACAAAAGAAAGACTTTTGTTTTAAACTTTGCATG